GGGGACGGTCCGGAGGAGACAGCCTGCGTCGGGCTGTTCAGGAGGACTTTTCTCTTCAATGAAAGGTGGAGAGAAGCGACTGCCATTGCGTGGGCAGGGCTCCAAAGTGCGCTTTTTAGTTTTCTTTTTAATGAGCAGTGGAAGGCAGGGGGAGGAGGAGGATTGAGGTGTGTGGAAACCGGCATTATTTCCCCAAGAGCCGGCTCCTGTGTGTGTGCGCGGCAGGAGCCAGACGGGGCTCGAGATGCCCATTCGTTCGTCAAAAATTTCTTAATGTTTTGACAGGGCAGTGGATTTGTGAGTATGGGAGAAAAGAAAAACTGAATTCCATCTCCATGCGTTACACGTTTTGTGCGAGGTGTGCGTTGCCTGCCTTGTTTTATAGTATCTGGCGCTGGGAAGACAGGCTGAAAGATTTATGAGCTCAAGTTAATAGTAAAACAGCATATTACAGGCTCTGTATTAATGTTCTGCACTGAAGTAGCTGGCTCTTTCTGGGGGAATTTATGCCAGGATTGCTCGCTCTGTCTGTCGTTGCCGTAATGGTATTATAGGGTGGCCATGGTTAGTCACCGTGGGGGGAAGCAAAACAAGGATGCCGATTCCCTCTCGGCAGGCAAATCAAAAGGAGAGGGGAATGATGACTCCAGCAACCGCATCTGTGTATTAGCTGCACCTGCTGTGGATATTGGGAAATGGGGAGAGCAAATGCCAGAGGCGCAAGGAACAGGGAAGGAAATGAAGGAGGAAATAACAGAGGAAGATAACGTGGTCTATCTGCCAGTGGCCACCATGCAGGCTCATGCAAGGCATCTTGCCACCCCGCAGTGGCTCAGGGAGGTCTAGTGGTGGGACTTTCTCTTGAATCTTGTGCTGGGATTTATCTGCCCTGATGTGTGCTGCCCTGAGCCCATGCAGTGGGGCAGGGTTTGGGCTGAAGGTGCCACGGGGGAAAGCAGCAACTGGAGAGCAATACTTATTGCATGATTGCCTGTGGATGGTGAATTTTTAAGTTAGTCAGGAGGTGAGGGGAACCCCGTGCCCCGCACTGATTTGGGAGGTGGTGAGGAGGGAAAGCACGTTCTGGCTTTTCTACAAGGAAGCAAGCTGCATGAAAGGGTACGCAGGTTCCCCTGGTCTGGAGGACCACAGATGAGAGATCTTATGGAGGACTGATTCCTGAAGACACCAGAAAATAGAATGGTGTATTCCCTTTGTGCAGCAGAGAGCACCACTAGGGATGGAGGTTGCAATCGCAGTGCTCTTGGTCTTTTCCTCCAGGGGCCGAGAGAGTGGGTTAATGGTAAGCTGAGAGCTCAGTTCATTGCTCTTGGTGCAGGGCAAGAAGGCATTGATTTGTGGTAAGCCTGGAGCTCATCTGTGTGCAAGGAGAGTCAGACCCCATCGACTCGCTGTGCAATATGATGCTGTACAAGTCCATGCTGGGATATAATTGTGCTATTAGAGCAGCGAATGTCGAATCTTAGGAAGCCGAGTCAAAGCGACCCTCCCAGTGTTAATATAACAAAATCATTAAAGATGAAATGTTAAGTGGCTCCTTTGGTCAGAGACTGTCTTGCTGAAGATAAATAAGCTAGATCCTGTCCCTGGGTCTGGTTAGCTCCATGTCTCTGGAGACCAAAGTCGTTTTGGGGGTGGCTTGGAGGGTGCATGTGGCTGCTGGTGGTGAAGGTAAGGCACGAGGACGTTGCTGGAATTGAGGCCATCCGAGGACGCCCTGTGCTGCTGGGCTTGCTCTGGGTGCTTTCATTCACTTTGCTGCTTTTGACTGATTCGTGACCCTGTACCCTCTCTAAAAGGTCTTCCTGTGCTATGTCAGAACTTTGCATTTATGTGCCATGTCCAGGTCTATTCTGGTCCTGCTTTAAGAGCTAATGAATGGATGTGGACATAACAGCTGAGACAGTACGTGGGCAAGCGCTTGGCACTTGGGACATGGCAGCTCCCATGGTGACTTGCCACGAGGCGCCTGTCTCCGTCGCAGGCTTGACAAGAGACGGGGAGCTTAATGTGCCACTAAAAACCTTGGCACCGGGTTTTTATATCCCTGACCCAGGAAACAAGGTTTCAGGGCCCTTTTATATTATCCTTATGGGGTAATACACTCTATTCTTCACAGCCTGAATCTGTTGCGCGCTCCACTAGCAGCGTTTCTGATGCTCTGGTACAAGGGAGCACCCGTTTCCATGCCCATGCTGAAGCCCAAAGGTACCTTTTGCACCTAAGGGTGCTCACACCAGAAAGCTGTTTGCGAACAGCCAAGGGGTGAAGAGGAAATTATTCCAACTCCTTGTCCTCAAGGCCTACATCTGATTTTGCAACCTGCCTTTTCAATTCCCGCCTTCAAAAATCAGGCTGCACCTAAGTTTTACTAGATTCATAGGGTTTAGAAATCCAAATTGAAGTGAAAACCTCTGATGGGAGGTGTATGTTAAGAATGGCTTGGTACAAACCATTTCAAGAAACTGTACCGAGGGTATCCTCGTTGGGATGAGAGAGTAAAGACAGAAAGGTAGAAAAGAAAATGGCTTGACGGTTTTAAGAAATATATTATTGCAAGCTGGCTACTTGTGTATTTTAGCAGGAGTGTGTGCGGGGAGAAAGCAGGGCGCTGGCAGGCCAGCGCCGACAGCGTAGAGCATATATCAGGCTGTGAAAATGCATCCTGGTGAGGGTTTTGCAAGAAGCTGTGAAGTTACAAATGGGAGGAGATTCTTGCTTTTGCTGGTATTCGGCCTGGAGGTGACAGAAAGACAGATTTCCACTCTTGCCCCAAATGGCAGATTTAGAACATGCAGAAAATTGACGTGCAATGGCCAGTCCCCTGGCAGCCAGGAAAGTCTCTGAGCCCTGCATGTGAAGTTTACTCTGGGAGCGCTTGGTGGCTTCGGTGGCAAGTAGAACGGTTGGGACCTAGCTTGGGAGCTTCGTTGTCTAGTGGTGACATGTCAGAGAAATGCAAAGGCAGGCTGTTAAAAAGGCTGTGCCTCCGAGCACGCACTGTTGATGAAGAGAAAGGGGATAGAAGCGTCCTTCTCCAGCTTTTAGCACTACTTGCTGGAGTCGAGCACTGAGCAATATAAGTTTTTTGCTCTTTTTGTCAGTTAGCTTAAGAGTTGTGCTGCTATGCATAATACAGGAGCTTTGAAAGCAAACATGAATGCAGTGGAGGTGTTGGAAAATCCCTGTAGCCACTGGTTCCTGAGAGTAGTGTTTACAATCACAGAAATACATTCATGTTGTTGCTGCTCAACTTCTGATCGTACGCAGTAGAAAGATGCTACTTAAATAAACAGCCAGGTCCTCATGGAGACTTGTTTCATATTCTTATGGGCAACCTGGTGGTTGTCTTTTTCCCCTCTGGAAGGTGCTACGGGGACGTTAGCTACAAAAGCTGCTGTACGCTGGCTTCCAACACTGGTAGCGATCTCCAGTGTGTAAAGTCAGGGCAGGATGAAAGGCTACAAGAGAGGAAACAGGAGCCCTGTGTTCCTGGAGTGGTGCTCAGGAGTCCTCAGGCTTTTGACTGGGAGGTGACTTGAGTAATAAGAAACCTTGCAAGCCTGACTTTTATGCTTTGCCATTTGGGTGGACATTCTGCACTTGATGCAGCTGGAGAGACTAGTTCCAGGGGTCATCTAAGGGTGGGAGTGGACAGGGGAAGATGCCATACCTTTTTGGGGAAGGGAAGATATTCTTGTCATTCCTATCAGTAAGAATAACAAAGTGACCAAACATAGGAATTGGCAGACTGCATCAGCCTGTGCTCTGTCTCTCCTGGTAGCCAACAGCAGAGACACCGACAAGGATAGTCACAGTAGATAGATGAAAAATAATCTGCCCCCCATCAACATCCTTTTCTAATCCATAATAGCTGGAGGTTGGTTTTGACTCTGAAAGCACAGGGATTTATATCCTTCCCAAGATGTTTGCTAGCCTTAGCCGTGCTTGTTCGAGCTGTTCTTGTTATCCCCATAATTGTGCAGCCTCTGCTCTCCACCTCTGCCCTATCATTTTGGACTGGTGAATGGAGCTGCACTCCCTGGGTTTCTCTGGGAGCACATCACTGAAGAGGATGTTCTCTGTCCTTGATATTCCTCAGTCTTCAAATCCACCCTGACTGGCAGCCAGCCCTCTAGCAACTGCTGGACTGGTTCCGAGATTCAGTGGGATTTTTTTTTTTTTTTTTATTTTGTTTAACTCTTTCTGCTCTTTTCTAAATTTTGCACTTTATAGCTGAAATGGGGCTCACACAGATTTTTTGCATGGAACCAGATAGCTTTTCGATTCCTGAATCACAAACTTACGAAAAGGTATTTCTGGAAAGAGGGTCATGATATCCAGAGGAGATAATTCAGAGTAGAGGAGAAAATAATGTTTTAAAATAAGCAAGATGGTAATTATATGCTCAGATAACTTCTAAAAACACGTCAGAAGTTTATTCTCAGAAAATCTTCCCGAGAGCCATTTGCAGTCAGATATGAAAACAGCTGGGGTTGTCATGGTGTAGTAGATCATCTCTGGTTAGGCTAGGGCTAGAATTACTGCCAAACAATTTGACATGTCTGTACTTTCAACCTCTCACAAGTTGGTAAGAAATTCTGTGGAAGCCCCGTAGCAAGCAGGCTGTGATTGTATATCTGCCATTAGTTCAGCCCCTTCAGAGCTTCTGCTGTTTATTCACTTGCTCACTGTAGTAGACACTGACATAAATGAGCCACCTTGGATGAAATCCGGATTCCATTTGAGTATTGATTGCATCGATGCTAGGATTACAGCCCGGAGTTCAGAAACACAAGGATGGTTTATACAAGCAAGCCCTCAACTGTATGGCTGGGGAGTCAGGTCCCATCTCTGGCTGAATTAGAAGGTCCTGAATGTTATCTGTGGGTGACTTACAATCTTTTTTGTTTGCTGTTGTGTATTGCTGTAGAAGTGGAACGCAATTTCCAGGCTAAACAACAAAATACGCTTAAGCCATGGAGTCCAACCAGGAGTCCTCGCTCTTCCTGGTGAAGATCTTGGAGGAGCTGGACACGAAGCAGAACACCGTTTCTTACCAGGACCTCTGCAAGTCCCTGTGTGCAAGGTTTGATTTGTCCCAGTTGGCCAAGCTCAGAAGCGTGCTGTTTTACACCGCTTGCCTGGATCCTAATTTCCCAGCGACTTTGTTCAAAGATAAAATGAGATGCACTGTAAACAATCAGCAATCAAAGAAAATCATGGTTGCAGCAGATATAGTAACAATATTCAACCTCATACAAATGAACGGGGGAGTGGCCAAGGAGAAACTTCCAGTTGCAAGGCAAAAAGTAAAGAAGAAAGAGTCCTTCGAGTCCTGCAGATCTGACACAGAAATCTGTAATATGGCAGATTGCGTGCCCAACTGTGAGCTGAATGACCAGGAGTTTAACCGGGGCTTTCCAGTCAGAAGGTCTTCAAAATGCAGAAAGATGGACTGCAAAGACTGTCAACAGTTTGTTCCCTCGTCAGAACCCAACTTTTTACTCGGCGTTAATAAGGAGATGAAGGGCCGGGCTGCCTCTCTGGACAGGCTGCAGGCGCTGGCATCCTACTCCATTGCCACGTCTCCACCATGCGAGATGCAGAGTACGTATTTCCCCATGAACATTGAAAATGAATCTATTTCAGACCAGGACTCCTTGCCTATAAGTGCAGGCATAAAAGAAACCTTCATTTCAAATGACGAGCCGTTTGTGATGCAGTCGTGCGTCCAGAAAAGAAATATATTCAAAGAAGATTTTCATAATCTGATTACAATATCTCCCAACTTAATACCATCCAACAAAAAGCCAGAAGATGGACACAGAGAGCCTCAGAACAGGAAAGAAAGCTCTAAGCAGGCTTTCTTCAACCACAGCTTTGAAATGCCATACAGCAGCCAGTACTTGAATCCAGTTTATTCTCCTATACCAGACAAAAGACGAGTGAAGCATGAAAGTTTAGATGATCTTCAAGCTTCAACATATTTTGGCCCAACTACTATTCTCGGGTCCCAGGACACCAAAAAGTGGACTGGAAAGCCAGCCAAGCAAACTGCCTGGCCAGCTAAAAGCTGGAGTTTAAATACTGAGGAGGTACCTGACTTTGAACGATCATTTTTTAATAGGAAGCAGTCTGAAGAGAAGCCACGATACCAGAGTTCGAACAACCCATCTCCAAGCTTTCCTTCAGCTGACAGGCATCAGTCCTACCTAAATGCGAAGGATCAGCAACCTATTATGCAGGCAAATTATGCTGTGAAACCGAATGGGCATAAACCCAAGGAAATTCCTTCCATTCTGGACGTGGAGAAACACGAGCCAGTCAAAAAGTTTAAGGATAAGAGCATTAATTGTACTTCTGTTCAGATCTTAAGCATTGACAGGACCACGAGTGTTGGGACACAAACGGAGCAGCAGGTTCTGGACCACAAGAAATGCAAGGATTTGTGCACGGCGGGCCAAGCCAAGTACGGAGAGCGGCACTCTCTTAAGCAGTCGGATGATGACTCTGAAATTGTGAGCGATGACATCAGTGACATTTTCCGGTTTTTGGATGACATGAGTATCAGTGGGTCAACGGGAGTGATGCAGTCTTCGTGCTACAACAGCACTGGTTCCTTGTCTCAGGTGCATAAATCAGACTGTGAGAGCTCACCTGAGCACAATTTGACTAAAATCTCCAACAGGAGTGCCTGTAACAAATTGGATAAAGTGGTCCGGGCAGACACCAATAACACAGATGATGAACTGAAAACGAGTGTCTGCAAATTAGTTTTGAGGATTGGCGAAATAGAGAAGAAACTGGAATCTCTCTCGGGAGTCCGAGAAGAAATTTCCCAAGTCCTGGGAAAACTGAGCAAGCTGGATCAAAAAATTCAGCAGCCAGAGAAGGTCAGCGTACAAATAGATCTCAATTCTTTGACAAGCGAGGCCGCGTCAGATGAGAGTAACTCCCCGCAGATATTTCAGTGCCACAATACTCCGCATGGAGGCAAACTAGAGAACAATCCAGAATGGTGCTGTTCAGATGCCAGTGGAAGTAATAGTGAGAGTCTTCGAGTAAAAGCCTTAAAAAAAAGTTTGTTTACTAGGAGGTCATCAAGATCATTAACAGAGGAAAATAGTGCAACTGAATCCAAAATAGCAAGTATTTCAAACTCTCCCCGAGACTGGAGAGCTATTACTTACACCAACCAAGTTGGCATTACGGAAGAGGAGATGAAGGAGAGAGATGGAGGAGAAAATAAGGACTGGCACAGGAAATCTAAAGAGGTAATTTCAACTTTAACTCGCATAATAAGCACTTAAAAATAATCCAGTTATGAATGCCTTCCACAGTCATCACAAGCCTCGGGGTGTGACAATACTTTGCCCTGCCATATTATGCCTGCCTTTATTGTTATCATAATTGAGTGGTTTTGTACCTATATGTGCTTGCTTGGCAGCTGCAATATGGTCAAGTTGTTCCTCAGAACCACTTTGCTTTTTTGAAAAGGGAGGAGGGGGTAACGTGGGCGAGATCTTCGGAAGATAATGGTATTCTTCATCATCAGTGGTGATATAAGGAAGCTGGGTAATTAACTTTGGTGAAAAGGACGTGAGGAAAATTGAAATTCTCTAGCGGTTGTTTTAGAAGGGATATTTTGAAATTGCATTGTGACGGCTTTTATCAGAGAAGTATGTGCATATTTAAAAGGCAACAAAATAGATTCATGGATTCAAATCCCGCAAAAAAAGAATCCTTGTACGTGTACCCTGAGACACAAACTGTAGTTATGTTCTCTGTATCTGGCTTTCAGAGTCATTTACGTGAGTCTTAAACCTTCCTGTTGAGGAAATGCGGCATAGCTGTGCTCTCGTTTTGGTCACTCAGAAAACCTCTGCCTGTCCCTCCCAACAGCTGCCCACTGCCATCGTCACAGATTGCACAGCTATGGTGGCTGTCCTTGCGCTGGGCTCTGGTTGCTGCTCAGTTGAGGCTATGCATGGTGTGGGCAGCTGTTTCTGTTTGGGGGACAGTGGAGAGGGTTGAGGGTCCTTAAGCCCTTTTGTCAATCAGGACCACATGATGGGTGTGCTGTGCCTCCTTACGGGGAGGAATGAGGGCAGAGAAGGGTTGAGAAAGGAGAGGAAGAGGTTTGATGGAGGTAAGTGCAGTTGGATAAATGAGGAACCATAAACTGTGGGTTATTAGCAGGTTGCAGAAGGGGAGGAAGATTAACCTTAGTAAGCCCAGACCTTGGTGTTTCTGTACACCGATCTGCCCAGGATGAAATGCTGCCTTTGAAAGTCCCTTCCTCACTCCTGCAGTAGGCGGTGGCTGACACTGGATTGGTGCTATGGATGGTGCAGTGTCAAGGGGGTGCTACCTGGGGGCTTCCCATGAGACTTCTTTGTGTTAAGATTCAATCTGGAAACCAAAATCTGGAAGCCTGCATTGGGGCTCTTAGCTTTTCCAGATCAGCTAGGCTTTTTTGGATGTCAGGGCCATTTTCAGAGTAGTTTTATAACCTGTAAACAGTACAAACCCTAAATTTCCTGTGTTGAATCTGCTTTGTGTTCATGTTATGGTTAACAAGGAGTTGTGTCTGTAAAATATCTCTTTGGTCTGGTTGTGTGAAGAGGGTGGGCAAATGGATTAAGGCCATCCAAACCCTTTGTCCTAGCTGGTATTTTTCTTACCGTGGCTTAAGCAATATCATATGGTGAGTCTGAAAGGAATATCTCTGTCCTTTGTGTTTAACCCCCTCATAGTCCTGTTTCTTCTCTCAAATTCTTTTGAACCCTATTGCAGGCAGACAGGCAATATGAAATCCCACAGCCACATAGACTCTCTAAACAACCAAAAGATGCTTTCTTGATTGAACAAGTCTTTAGTCCTCATCCCTACCCTGCATCACTCAAGTCACACATGAAGAGCAACCCACTCTACACAGACATGAGGTTGACAGAGCTGGCTGAAGTGAAACGCGCCCAGCCATCGTGGACCATAGAGGAATACACGAGGAATTCGGGGGATAAAGGCAAGATTGCTGCATTGGATCTACAAGTGAGTCCCATTTGTTTAATTTGAATGGCTTGATTGTGAATGGATGTTGCCAGAATATGCATTTAAGAAGGGATTTGGATAGCTCAGGAAGGAGCTGTGCAGTGTTGAGCCCCTAATCTTGCTGATCCCGATCCATCCTGGCCAGGGACAAAGAAAAACGTGATGTTTGATTGCTGAGTGGTGATCCTCGAAGGGTTGGTACTCCCAGTTTATTCTGCGATGGAGAGGTGTCTGCTAAGCCATCGTGGTGTTAGAAGCTCGAAAGAAGAGTTTAGGGGTACAGGGGTGCAGAGATGAGCCGGTTCCTTACTGCAGCAAGGTAGAGTGGTGCGGAAGCTGGCATTGCTGCTTTTTCTTCTATCCTTGTTCTGTCTGAATTGTTCACAGAGAATTTAAGTGTCAGGGCTTTTCCCATTTTGCTAGGAATGTGAGACATAAAATACTTGTAGAAGATGCTCAATGCCATGTCTGTTTTTGAAATACATCACTGTTGCATCTTTGAAATGGCTGTTGGAAACCAGAATAATTTGAAGAGCAGATCCACTAATGGTGTGTCTTGTTTGCATTTTAGTTCAGCTTGGAAGTGTGCAGGCTCTTCTGCAACAAGCAGAGCAGAGCAAGTTATTGGGCGACAAATCCAAATTTTGGATTTAAATTTTCCCAAACTGTGATGTATTTGAAATCACGATCCTGATACATAATGGACTGGGTGTCCACGTTGGATACCCTGTCTAATCTGATAAACACAAGACATCTTCTAGGAAGGAAGATATCTGAGCACATGTTTAAAGAGGAAGCATGAAGAATGCCATCCAAAACATGTAAAGACCAAACAAATGTTGCCGTATTTGGTCATGAAACACAAAATGCATCGCATAATGAAATCCATACTGATGCGCAGATCACTGTGTGTCATTTATATGCATTTATACAGTGACATACGGAGCCAGCGGGGGGAATGGTGCTGACCTCGGGCATTTTGGGCTCCTTGCACGTATGCACATGCCCCAGAGCAGAGCAAGCTGCCTCCGCTGGCTGCAGGCTCAGCAGCGGCTGGGGTACACTGACCTACAGCTCGGGGCTTATTAGTGCCACGCTAACATAGCTCTGTGACCAGCGCTGCCTGCGGTGCAGCCACGCTCAGGCAAGGAGGTTGCTTGTCTCCCAAGCTTCTCTGCCAGGGAAGGTGGCATGCAAGAGCTTGAGACTTGCGGCTCGGCATCATCTCGCGATGGCTCAGTGCTGAGGTACCTTTCCCAGCCCCAAACCCATCTAAGCCCTAGGAGAGGATCAGGATACTGTAAGAAAGACTTGGATAGCCCAAGGAGAACTGCCATGCCTCAGGACCCCGCGTTAGCTGGTTTGGAATTAAAACCATCACCCACGCAGTGCTGTAGTGCAACTCCCACAAGTGTTTGTGCAGGGATTTGTGCACAACAAATTCACCTCCCGGCTCTGCTCATGCAAACATCCCTGTCCTCACCAGCCCCTGCTACTTGCTGGGGCTAAAGTGCACTTGGAGAAAAAACAGGTAGCACAGGGAGCAGGCTGCATCTTGCCTCGGCTGCCTGCTGCTTTTTGGGACTTAAAAAGCATTGGAGGGCTTACTAAATTCCTAACCCTGGCATTGCAGACTGCATGCTAGAGTAGGGATAGGCTGAAAGAATCTGCTCTGCTGCAGGCAGTCGAGAAGCATCCCCTACCTGCTGCGCAGAGGCAACGAGGGAGGTGATATTTGGAAGCAAGTCTCCCCTGGGAGAAGTGTTCTCCATCTGCTCCTTGTAGGGCTGTTTTGTTCCCTGTAAGCAGCTCCATGCGAATGTGAGCAAACCAGAGAAATCGGCTTATTGCCATCATTTATCTTTAGGATAAAGGTGATAAAACTTTACTGGTTTGATTCTCTCCCTCCAAAAGGACTGTCAGAATTGCATCTACTCTGCAAAGCCCATGTCTAGACTTTATAATAGAGCTTACTGACAAACTTAAAAAATAGACACAGACTGATGAGTGGGGTTTTTTTCCCAGTGATTAGGTTTATTAGGACTGAAAGTAAATACATTATGCTTTAATGAACGTTCCTACATCTGGCAATGAAATGGGAAAGGAAGCTTTTTAATAATGCATCTTCCTTCTGAAGTAGTTAGAAGGTCAATACCAAGGCAGAGCGGTCCAAAACTGTAATTTCCTTGAAGCATAGCATGGCTGTCTTTGGGGTTTTTCTACCTTTCTTTATTCAAAGTTTCTCCTGGCACTTGACAAGTCTGCTGGGTTTTTCTTTAAAAAAGGAATTGCAAAACTGGTCAGGCCAAAGTTTGTCCCAGGTGTGAGCCCCGTGTGAGGAGGTCTCATCGCTTTGCTCTGTGTATGACGATCCGCTGGGACGAAACAATGTCAGGCCATTTTCTGATGCCTTTAGAGGTGAAGTTGCTGGTTTTTTTTCAGAAGGCTGGAATAGGTCATTCAGAGCCCAAATGGTACCATCTCAGACTCGGCTGATTGCCTCTGTTTCAGCATCCTAGCGCTGTCATAGAGATCTCCATTAAATGATCGTAAAAACATTGCTCAATTTTAATTGTTTATTTCTGGGGTAGCTATAAAATCACTTCTTGTACTAGTTCTGTACATAAAGCAAACGCTGCTTTCAGGCAAAGCAAGGTTTCAGCCAGTAGCTCGTGGCCACAAAATCTGAAATAGCCCATTAAAGGCTTACCCAAATCCCTCTCAAGTCAGCTGGAGTTTCTTTGTGTGGAGTCCAACGAGCTTTGGATCAGGCCCATTACGAGCACAGAAATGGTGTTTGTTAGGGTATTCTCACTGGAACATTTTTATGTGGAATCTTTTTCATTTTTTTAAAGAAATGGCCTTTTGGAGCCCCTGACATAGGAGACAGCTTCGAGGAAAAGCTGTCATTTTTCAAAATGTTCTTTCTGCTTTATTCCTTTCTGCAGGTAAGTGCAATATAATGCCTAGTATTTGGGTTTTTCCCTAACAGAAAGGATGAAGGATAAAAAACCAAGCAAGGTGGAAATGCAAAGCTTGAAGAACTCAAATTTAAGGAAGAAAAACCTAAAAGATTAACAAAAAGAAAACACAACAGTTCAGATGAAGACGCTAATAAAGTTCCCCAGGTTGCCTTTAATTTTCTGACCAATTCGGATTTCCTTCACTTTTTTTTTGTTTGGTTTTTTTTATTACCTGTGTTGAATGGGAGGGCAAAACCTTCCATTTCTTAAGCATACTCTTAAAAACACCTCCAACCCAGAGAGGCTCAGACTTTGGCAATGAGCAGAGTATTGCTTCCTGTGGAAATACAGATTGTGCCATTGAGGTGAAATGGTCTCATCTGTGGAGATGGTCCAGAGTAATGTGCGGTACCACATCGTGTGCCCGGTGTCCAGTTTCTCCTCTTGCCCCTAAAACTGAGGCAGCATCATGCACCCGGGTGATGTTCACAAGGTGGAGCTGGAGGAGAGCTCGAAGCTGAGGGTCACTCCGTCCTGGGTGATTTCATGGAAACCCACTTGCATGCCCCCTTTGTGGGGCGTTCAGCACCTGCTGCCTGCGGTTGTGTAGTCCCATGCCGAAATGAAGGGCTGGTGTCCCCAGGCATTGCCATTCCGGAGGGGGTCTGCAAATGACCCGTCCAAAGGGACTGGGTGCCAGGAGGGGCTGGGCAATCGTGCCCTGCAAGCAAGTTATGGTAGCAAAATTAGGGTTAGCTTTATAAAATGTAGTGCCTGAGGAGTATATATTAAGAACCCTTCCCATCAGCTGGGCTTTAATAATTTAGAAAGCAGTAACAGACCGGTAGTCGCTGACATCTCTGCTGTCTAGCAGATTATAGAGATTTTATTTAAATGCCATCCAAGATGACAAAGTTTCCAGCAAATCAGAGGTACGTGAGGGATTTTGCAGCAGAATTACACTGTTATAGGGTTTTATTTTTTGCAGTATTTTGTGGCCGCTTTCGTCAGCCTTAAGGAACCAGGACCAGCAGTTGAAGGGATGTGAGAAGTGGCAGTAAGCCACTTTATCCTGACAGCAGATCCAGATGCAGTTGGGAGGCCTTTGGACACATCTGCTTTATTTATTTATTTCATTAACGACAGATCCCAGACAATTAACAACTTTTTCTTTTTGATTTTTAGACTCAAGAATCTTTAAACCCAAACAACTTAGAATACTGGATGGAAGACATTTATACTCCTGGCTATGATTCCTTATTAAAACGCAAAGAAGCTGAGTTCAGAAGAGCAAAGGTTTGCAAGATAGCTGCCCTGATAGCAGCAGCAGCTTGTACGGTTATTCTGGTCATAGTAGTTCCCATTTGTACGATGAAATCCTGAACCTGCGGACAGGCCCGTGACTCCCAGCCGCGTGTATCTCAGATAGCTCATGCTGTGTTTCAAACGTCGGATGGCAAAACTGTAAGGAATTTGCTGAGGAAGAATGTTCTGAGGATATCCTGATGGAGAATGCTGTAAACGTAGGCAAAACACAAAACAACAAGAGAAACTTTTTTTTTTTTTTAAAGTGTTATTTTAAATAACAGACTGTGTGGCGGAGTTAATGGGAACTTGGTTCAATTTTTATGCATTTTTAAAAGTGCAATATTTTTTTTTCCTAAAGAAACAATATAATGTTTTACAGAATCAGAGACTGATGAGAATCCAGGCAAAAGAGGAAGGTTGTTAGAGCTATGTTGCATTTAATTGAGGTATGGGTACATGGAGGTAGCACTGTATAGAAGGGAATGTTCTATATGCATTACATCGGAGAGCTAGGAAAGTCTTAAAGCTCTCTACAATGTAGAAAACTCTGAATGTATTGTATTTATTTTATAGTATTTATGTATTTCATGACCATTTGATTGAAAGCAGACTGTGTAGCCATGAACAGAGTTCATTCCGATGTTCAGATTAAAAAGGGCTCTTTGTATTTTGGTCTTGCCCTAAGACCCACTCTATCATCACTGAGTACTTAGATAAGTGCAATGTGCTGCAGACCAAAAAGATTATGTTTTAAAGCAATCACAAGGGGTTTTAGTTGCTTCTGTTGAATAACATTTGCATAGGGCTGGCAAACTTGCCTTGCCAAAAGGGTATTCTTTACCTCCGCAGACAGTGAAATTGTCTCAATTTCACTCCTGCCAGCAAGCAAAGCTGGCAAATCAAAGCAACGCGCTGTTAAAGTTCTTGGAAATGTAATCTGAACAGTTATAATTTTTTTTTCACAAAGTCTTTGTGCCTTTTTTTAGACTGTAGATTAAATAGAACTGTTTAATTTTGCTATTTTAAGCCCATAACATAAATCACAGCATAATGGGTACTAATGGAGGTTCTATTCCCGCAAGCCTTCTGTACAGTTCAGAGTGCTCCTCAAACAGCAGGGCTGGTGGTTACTGAGCACTTATATTAAGGGCACAGTTTTTCACCACTGGTGGAAACTTGCTGTTAATGCATTGCATTTGGCACGGGGACGTCTTTCGCTTCCCTCTTGCTAATGTACTTAAGAATGATGGTTGGCTCTACCAGACGGCAAGCAGTCTGTATCCCATGGGAAATGACCATTTGATGCTTTATCCCAAATGCAAATAGCAGGTTCAAAGGAATTCTCAAGCTATGACAGAAATTACCTGCCACGGTTAGTGAAAGCAAATACCCAGACAGTATTACTCTTCTGTCAAGTATAGATGGAAAAAAAAAAAAGTATTTTCAGGAAATAATGTGATCTTGCTGGTCCTCTAAGGGAAAGGAGATTCTTTCAGTGAATGCTCTTTATGTAGGGTAATTTGATTTCTTCAGAAGCGGCCTCCCTACACAATGACACGGTGGCTAGGAAAGCCTCGGCTGCTCGTTCCTCCGGCTCTCGCGGACGTGCCGTGCTCGCTGTTTGTTTCTGGCTGGTTTAAAAAAAGTAGTGAGGGAAGGGCACGTGGGGGGCGAAGGCTTTGTTGTGACTTTAGATGTGTGTCGGTTCCTTCCTGCAGCTGGAGATCTGTTTATGCGCTGCTTGTATCTTATTTAGGGATAGGTGATCCCTGGGACCATTGATCTATAAGGATAAGAAGCGCAAGCACAGCATCGGGTGTCCCATCAGTAAATACAGAATAAGGATAAGCCCCTAGACCGAAATCTGCACCTGCCTGGCCTGAATCCTGACCCAAATTCTGCAGCTTTGGCCCATTCCTAATACCAAGATTATTCCTCTTTCCTCCCAGGTGCTGCAGGCACAGCAGGGAGGGAGCAGTTCACGCAGTCTATTTTAGGATGCTTTGGTTATGGTATGATTCAGAGCACCTGAGTTTAGGAGCTCAGGATCCACACATAGTAAATATAGACATGTAGAGAAACCTCTGGGGACGATTTGGAGCCACCAGCAAGTTGTCTAATATTAGACATGTGAATATGCTCCAGAGGGCATTGCTCTGCAGTTTACCATATGCACAATTTAGGTTGATTGTATATGTAAAAAAAAAATCTATTCCTGGTTCCAGATAATGTCAGAAAGCCCTTTTACACCTCTCCTTGGCCTGGTGATAGCAAGCATGAGGTGCTGTTGGAAAGACCAGAGTGGCCCTGTGGTGGCACAGTGTCAGTCCCCGTCTGCCTGCGCTCGGCAGTGACAAGTCCCTTGGAGGGACAAGATGGGTGTGGGATGGACACCAGGCAGACCCCCCGCCTTCACCAAGCCCCCCCTTTCTGCTAGCAGAGCGGTCAGGCCCTGCTGCCCCCAAACCCAAAATCAGCAGCGCTTCCTCTGTTGCGTTTTAGTAATCTGATTTTAGAAAATACCTGAAATTCTAAGTGGAGATGCGAGAAGGGTGCAGGAGATGTTACTGATTACAGGGGCGGGCTGGGGCTGTGCTTGCACTGATGCCTTAGAGGAGATGTAAGGACCCCTGTTTTGTCTGTGCAGGGATTTTTTTTTTGTCTGTGCAAGACTCATCCAGCTGGCACCGGATGAGTCTTTGCATTAGAGATGCCCAAAATCCTGGGAAGGATTTGGCAGGTTATGGAGCTGTGGGTGATGTGGAGCTGGCCCAACCCAAGCACTCAGTATCTCAAGCATCCACACTGCTCCTAATTTATGGAGGTGCTTTGGCCCACCCTCACTTTGTGCAAGCAGCCAGTCTCCATCAGGGCAGGTGGAGACTGTAGTTCAGCCCAGATCTCTCTCCCATTCGGGGCTTGATTTGGCTCCCGCAATCTCTGGGAGCATCTCTGCAGTGCCGGGAGCCCGAGGGGAGCAGGGAAGGCAGAGCCCATCTCCCTGCTCCGCAAATACCTCGGGGAGCTGCTGCCTCGCCATCGCCTCCGCTCCCCGGCTGCCTCCAGCAGCTCCTCGGCACCGCTGGGATGTGTGTCCCTTGCCGTTCCCAGCGGGTTTTACATCTGGCACAGAGCTCTTCGCTTAAAATAGGTAAGGAGATGGAGTGGTGGGATGCTGCCGCCAGAGGAGAGCAGCCTGGGAAGGAGGGACCCTGCCGTTCTGCACCGAGTATAGAAACTAGGTGAAACCCTGACAATATTAACCTGCAGGAATATTGTGCTCAACCTTGTGAACCAGTTACCGACTAGTATATACTGTATACTATATGATAGACTTTTGTATAAAAAACAAAACAAAAAACAAATTAAAGCTATAGGTACAGTGTAATCCTTGGTGTGATTGAAAAAAGTGTCCTAGATTGTATTACTTAATTAAAATAACGATGAGCATATTGAACTGTTTTTCGTATTTATGCCTTATAAACTTGATATATTACACATGATAAAATGAAACTGCAAGAATTATAAAAAAGATACTCCATTTTGGGGGCAAATCCCATTCGCTTTTCCTAAAACAAGAATGCGGCTTGAAATCAGCTCACTAAGTCATGTGTGCAGAAGAGCAAGAGCAGGATCTGTCCCCAAATGACTTTTTAGGACTTTTTTTTTTTAATGGGGCTTTGGTTAATGTACTATGTAATAATTTTATTTTATAAAGTTACTGTACAATGTTACCTTTTGGTTCATTTAAATATAATACCAAATAAACTTGAAAATGAAAGCATCCTAAGTTTTAATGAAAGAGTTATAATAATTTATTACTCCATTGCTTTTCTTCCTTTTTTTTTTTTTTTTCCCAGGGACATCAAGATAGCCATGGGATGCGAGTGTCTCAGTGTTAGATAACTAAGCAGCCTATCTAGTTCTTGGCAGAATTGCTAATGGATTTCTCACTTGTGAAATAATAAGATGGCAGAAGATAATGAAAAATTAGTTTGCTGGGTTTCTTTTAAAAGCTCCTTTACATTACATTGTCTGGGCTTCTGGGAGATTAGCTCTTGACACTAATCATAATATTTCATTGTATAGGTTATTTCATGACTGAGTTTTGCCATATCAACTGTTATAACAAGGTCATGACTAATATTTTGGTATCTATTTCACCTACATGTTTATGCAGCCACTGTCCCTTTTAAGTCAGTACTATAGATAACTATTTATAGTCACCTATCAACAGGCAATCAGTTTGCTTAGGGTCTCTGTATGAATTTAATTTGCTGCTCTTGACTTGTTAGTTGCAAAATCATGTTGTCTTAAAATTCTAGGTGTTGAAACAAAGATAGAGCTGATCCCGCCCCTGAAGGTAATCCAGCGTCAGAGGTTGCAAAGGGGAGCCGCAGAAGAGGACGTTTATAAATAATGAACAACTACATGAAAATGTAGTAATGCAAGATTTTTATTTCCTCGTCTGTGCTGCATAAGCATGTTCAATGCATTGCTTTAGCAATCCTGGTCAGGACAGGAACTGCCGAGTGCTCCCTGTGTGGCTGGGACACCAGCTCAACCCTCCAGTGCCCACATGTTGTCAGTTGGGCTGCAAACCATCACAGGTCCCCTTGGGAGGGACTGTGATTCACAATTTAGCATTGGTTTCATTTTTTTTTTGAGATGGTAGCATGGTTTTGCATCACTTCCAGGTTTTTCTCTTGTTCCCATCAAGTCCAGAGGCTTACAAGTAGAAGTGCCCTCTGGATTTTTATGTTACAGCATGAAGCCAGGAGCAGGAACTTTCATAAAAATGCCAAGTGTGACCAGGCCTGTGCCAAAAAATCCTAAGCACTCTGGAACAGCATTTGTCAGCCAAGAAGCTGGATGTGTAGGATATATAGACCTCACCTGGGTCGTCGCTGTGCTGGAAAATGGGGCAGCTGCCAGGTTTCTACGGTAGCTGCTGGATAGAGCGACTGAGTCTCAAGGTAGAAGAAAGCTCCTACATGCAATGCTGTATCAGCGACCAAGACGTAGCCCTACGCTCTCTGTCCTTCTTTGAATGTATTGCTCACAGCAATTAATTG